AACATTTGACTGCCATCAAAAATAAATAAACACAGACGAAAGAGATGCAATAAAAATGAAGAATAGATCACGAGCACAGACTAACGGCCGACTCCTGGCGCAGCTCCAGCAAGGAGGGCGTGGGCGGCGGGCCTGGAAGGCGGGGGCGAGGGCGGGGGCGCCGGGGAACAGGTGTTGTCACGAACGGGGGGGGGGGGATGAGTTGGAAACGGGGAGTGGGAGAAGGAGAGGAAGAGGGGGGTGGAGACGGGGAGGAAGAGAGGAGAGGACGGGAGACAGGGAGAAGGAGCTTGGTCGGTCACAATTGGTTTTTGGTTACTTACATAACACGAGACATAAACCGTATATTTTCATGAAGGCTAAAGATGAGTCAGTATACAGAGACAATATAAAAAGATTAAAGAGAGAGAGAGAGAGAGAGAGAGAGAGAGAGAGAGAGAGAGAGAGAGAGAGAGAGAGAGAGAGAGAGAGAGAGAGAGATGTATATATGTATGTATGTATGTATATATATATATGTGTGTGTGTGTGTGTGTGTGTGTGTGTGTGTGTGTGTGTGTGTGTGTGTGTGTGTGTGTGTGTGTGTGTGTGTGTGTGTGTGTACGTATATCTATATATGTCCGCGTAATCACATACCTTATTAGTGAAAAAAATCTATTTCTTCCAGTCGAGAGAGAGAGAGAGAGAGAGAGAGAGAGAGAGAGAGAGAGAGAGAGAGAGAGAGAGAGAGAGAGAGAGAGAGAGAGAGAGAGAGAGAGAGAGAGAGAGAGAGAGAGAGAGAGAGAGAGAGAGAGAGAGAGAGAGAGAGAGAGAGAGAGAGAGAGAGAGAGAGAGAGAGAGAGAGATTCAGGTCTCCACCTCCACCTCCAGCGTAAATGTCTTTACCTCCACCCCCACCTCCACCTCGAGCACTGAATACAGCTCCACTCCCGAACTTCTTCATCTGGCTTGTACGCTCTCACCACCAAATTGTATGCATTTCCTAACGCAAGTCTCGTTCCGTCCGTCTGTCTCCACCGACGGATCCATTTGCAACTGCGTTTCTGCAGAGCTCTACCCCGCCCATACCACCCGTGGCTCCAGCTATGTCAATCTCTCTTTCCACTTTGAGTCTCCTTATTTTATTTTTCGTCCCAAAAGCATGAAGTACCGGCACTAAATTAAGCGAATGTGCCTTCTCCACTTTATGTCTGTTTAAGGATACCGAGCCCTTCCAATAACTCTTAGTAATGCTCTACTATGCTTTAAAGTCCCACCCATTCTACTACTTGCTCAAGGTGATATTGCCTAAAGCTGCCGTCTTCTTTCGTTATCGCGCCCGTCTCAAGGACTAAGGTCGAGATGAACAGCACTGTGGTGACTGATGCCCAACGCCCCAGCCTCCAGCCGAAGGGCTGAGCCGTGTCCTGAGCAAGCCCATGGTTCTCTCCCAGGCATTGGCGCTTGGCTCCGCGTCCACCCCAGGGTGACGAGGGCCTTCAGTCTTTTTCAGCCAACGTTCAGATAAGCCTCGAGGTTCAAGTTCACACGCGAAACTTCGCGAACACCATCTGCTTCGGCCAAACTTGAACTCGTACCAAAAAGAAATACCTACTGCAATCTGCACTTCAAGAATAAGCTCCGCATGGCGTTTGTACTGTATTTTTACTTATCTTTCTGCAGTCAGTTTGCAACGCTTAAAAGCTGCATGGCAAACAGTAGACCGTTTCGTGAAATGCTCTAAGTTCACTCCGTAGAGTTCGCCCTTCTGTCCTCTACTAAAAATTGGCAAACATTTTATAAGAAAGCCTTGTAAAACTCGGCTAAATTAAGAGCATTGGGATGGGAACATATGTTTGTTATTTCTGCAACAGTAGTCATAATAATTCGTGTGTGTGTATATATATATATATATATATATATATATATATATATATATATATATATATATATATATATATATATATATGTCTATATAATGCAAATAATCAATTTGACTAAGAACAATCTGCAAAAAGCACAAGAACACATCGGAAAGAAAACACATAAATAAAACGAGAGACCGCAAACCAGCATTTCCTTTCCTCGCACTCACTCTTTTCCTCACGCGCCACCTTTGCACTTTTAAATACTCGTCTGGATAAAAGGTTTCATGCAAATGCTACTACACTCACCGCCGCAAAATACTCACCAGTGATAAGTGATCGTTAGTCTTATCGCTGGCTGATAAGTCGCACGCGTCGCCGCTTCGGTTTACCTGAACGCTATTGTGTTAAACCGAAACGTCATCAGACTATCAGCACACAGACAAGTCAGTTTTGTGTCTTAAAGACCATAATCCTTTGTAGCGACGAGCGCGGCTCTGTGATAAGCAGGTAGGTAAACATAGCCTCCTGCCTCCCACGCACAGTACAAGCTACAGACGAAGGGGGAAGAGAGAGAGAGAGAAAGAAGGTGACGGGAGCCTGGCATCCCCTCCTCGGCTCCTCCGTCCCCCATGCACACTCCCCGCCCCTCGCAACGT